ATCTTGACAAAATACCTTGCCAAGTATGATATCCTCATTTTTCTTAGTACCAGTAGGCATTACAAAAATTCTACAACCTTCCCAAAGCATTGATTGGGTAGTCAATTTTTAAAAAATGTAGACATTATGTTAATGTTAGTGCAATTGTTCCAACTATTGAATATCTGAAAATAAACACACATTGGCCATGGAATATTACTGAGAGGGAGGGCTATATAATGGGTAAGAAGAGCACCAAGTACTTGACACAGACGTCCTTGATTCAAATTCCAGCTTTCATTTAAGAGCTGTGTTGCCTTGAGCAAGCTACCAAGCACTCTAGTTTGTTTCCTCATCTACGAAATGGAGATAATAGAAGTCCTTACCTCACTGAGTTACTGTGAGTTCATTTACATCGACAGTGCCAAGATATAGGTAGCACAAGAAGCACACAATTTGTATAAGCTGTTACTATAGTTGGAGCCACACTCCCCATATTTGCCTTTTGAGTATTGCATTTGTGCAATGTAAAGGTCCCTGGTAGATCTTTAAATTAGGATAAACATTGACACTGAGAAGAATATCATGGGATACACTTGGCATCAGTTTACCCAGAAGATTATAGGACAGGAACTACATCACACTTTTGTCTCCACAGGAGTCCCAGCAGCAGTAGCGGGCATGGCAGTTCACACAAGGGTTGGGAAGCTGTCTTTTCCCTAGATGACAGCCAGGTGCAAGGAGATGAGATTCACATCAATGGGGGTGAAGTTCACTTACACGTATCATCATGATGCAAACATATCTGATGAATGTCTTGTGTCTGGAATATGGGGTGTTAGAGTAGTACAGTATGAGTATAAGATATTCTGCTGTTCTGACACAATATAGATGAGAAACTTAGAAAATAAAAAAAGGAAAAACTAGCATGTCTTTCTCCCCACCCCCCACCCCAGTATTCCTCTTGGCAATCATTAATTAAAATAGGTGACACAATATAGATGAGAAACTTAGAAAATAAAAAAATAAAAACTAGCATGTCTTCCCCCCCCACCCCCCCCAGTATTCCTCTTGGCTATCAATAAAATAGGGCCCTGGCCAATGTGGCTCCGTTGGTTGGGTGTCATCCTGTGGACCAAAAGGTTGCCAGTTTGATTCCTGGTCAGAACACATGCCCAGGTTGCGGGTTCCATCCCGGGTAGGGGGTGTGCAGGAAGCAGTTGATCAAGGTGATCCTCCCATTCTCTCCCTTTCCCTTCTTCTCTTTCTAAACATCAATTTTAAAACATCTTTAAAAAATCCATTACAATAGGATTTTGACAGGGTTTTCCAGCAGACATTCTAGCTTGTCAGAGTTGTGGAAGCTTACATCACAGAAATTTAAATGTTGGATTTTGTAAAAAGATACAGATGGTCTATGTATATTAGTCACATGGAGAAAAAGTTGGCATTTTATGAGGAAACAGAAAATACCTTTGATTGTTGTTATGCTTCTTTTCTGTACCAAAGGATTGTAGACATATCTCTAAATAGGACTGAGGCTTATGTCTGAAAGCATGTTTAAAACTGGACAAAACTGTACTGTAGCTTAACTGAAAGCACAGAGTACATATTACAGAAGCAAGACTGCAATAAAATAAGCTTCCTGCAGAAAGATAATATTGAGGAGGACTCTATCTAGATGGTTGTAATTTGGATTGTTTGCAAATACATCTTGCAGTTAGAGTGAGAGCTAACTTACTGAACACAATCACTTTATATTCATTTAGATCCTCAAAATAAGAATAAAACAACAACAGAGGCAGAACTTCCCAGTTTATGTTTGGACACAGACAATACTGAGAAACTTATGGTATCATTAATAGACTGACAAGCTCAGGCATTTTGAAACGACACCAGTGTTGTATGAATAAGCACAGGTCACCAACATAGGAAGGGTGGCTGTCTTCCTATTCACTATGGTAGGAGAACAGATCTCTGATTTCTTTAGGACACGAGCCTTTAAATTAGGTCAAAAATCCTCTTTGAAAAGTTACTTAACACTTTGGCCCCTTTATGGAATAGGGAAAATAGGAAGCTGTGTATAGGTACCTGCATGCATATTTACGTATTAACCTTAGGAGGTTTAAAGCCTTGGAAGCCAATTTCATTTTCCTTTGAAACCTTGATTAAGAACACTTCATGTGGATCAGACAGGAATGTCATCAGATATTAGGAAAAATGGCTCCTTCTACGGTAAACGTTTCAAGTTACATTTGCCTAGAAGAATTTTCAGTTGTTGAACATGAGTTGTAATGAGTTAAAAAAAATTGGGGTCCTGGGTTTTGTAGTCTGATGACTCTACCGGGCCTTTCAAGTAAATTTACGTTCTTGTCCTGCACAGGTTAATTGACTGAATTGTGAAACTCAGAAGAACTTTGTTCAATAAGTTTAACAGAGTCTCTAATATGATGCATTACCCTACTCCAATTTACTATTGATTTCACAGAAATAATTCTGTTGAATCCTCCCTTTGAAGGATTTTTCATGAAAGTAAACCTGGATAAAAGGATAAAAGGACATGCATAATTTTTTGCAGACGTAACATTATGCAGTTATTTTCTGTGAGTAGGTATGACCCACTGCTTGGGCCTCCAGCAAAATTCCCGACCATTTGCTAGGCTTGCCTGTGCTCATTGCTTCTGTGGCCAGCGATTTGGTAATCGCAGAGAGTCATGCATCTTAACACACATAGCTCTCAGACCCTAAAAAGCCTTATTGAATGTCTTATAAGCTTTCCTAACAAAATAACAGTATTCTCCTAGCAATTGTCCTAATCTGTCTGCAAAACCAGTCTTCATGCTCATAGGGCGATACTTCATTCTGTGGGTGTTTGAGTCACCCAGAGGAGGTTTACTATGGCCATTTTGGATTTCAAAGTAAACGCATTTGTAAAAAGCCAGCATAAAGGATCACAACGCTACTGACAGGGCTTTGTTGATGCTGGGAGGAAAGAAGACAAGGCACAGATTGCGCGTAAACGTCCCCTCTAGACTACGGGTTTTGCACAGCCTTTAAAAAGAAAAATCAAAAGGAAATAAATACAATCCATACACAGCAAAGGTTAATGAGTCAAAAAGAGGACTAGGGAATATATGTTTTTGTACAGGAAAGCCCCAGGCACTGGTGACATCCTGAACAGCAGGATCTTCTTCTGCAGAAGGCTTTATGCTAATGCAGAGCCCTCGGGTAAACCAAGTATTTTCATGTTTGAGAGAGAAATTTACCAAGAATCCTCAACACTATTCATGCCAATTCATCAGTTAGGAAACACTTTCTTCTTCCTATGGTGAGATTGGAAACAACTTTAAAATCTAAATGGGTTCTAGGAGGTTTTTAATGAAAATTATTAATTATTAAAGTACCGATTATAGCCTACAGTTTGCCCATAGAGCAATGTTAATAACAATGTGTGTTATTCTGTTCAAAGTCCATTGTCTTTTGAGTTGTGAACAGGTGTAGAAGCTGTGTCGTCTGAAGTACACAGGAGTGCTTCATGAAATCCTGTTTAATGTTTGCCAAACATTTGTCATTCCTGCCAATGAACAGATTTTACATTTCTGGCTTCAATACACGAAAAGACTTAAAGATGTGTAGTTGTCTAGTATTACTACCTTTCAAATTACAAATTTTTGTTGTTACCTTTTCAAGAATTTCAGGCTTGGCATATAATGGAGCTAATTAAATTTTTTTCCCTAGGAAGCAGCCAGCCAGACCACTGCCCCAGGCACATAACCTCACTTACTACTTTCCTTCTCTCATTTATTCTGTATGTGAGATGAGACTCTGCAGCTGCAAAGGTAGAGTACTCAGACCAGGCAGCTGCTGATGGATCTTAGGAACGACAGAGTGGGCGTTTGAGTCTCAACCCTGACAGCACACATCACAGAGAGGCGATGCTGAAGGCATATCTTTCAGTCTTAGTTGGTTGTGGATGACAATGTGCCAAACGGAAATTATGGAAGAGGCATCAGTTGTATAAAAAATGAACCAACCTGGCTTAGCTGTAAGGTATTTTGCAAGATTCTAGGAGTACCACCCCATTTTCCCCTGAGATTAATTTGTGAACAACTCAGAAAACATAGTAATTAAAAATGGAATCATGTGGGGAAAAGGTTTCTTTTAGTAATGTCATTAATGTAGCTTCATGGTTAAGCCATTTTGTCCATCTTCACAAGAAGGGGATTATTCTTAAGCATTTAAAAATAATTATTTAGCAGTCACCCTACTAGGTTCTTTACACATGTTATTTAAATTCAATAAGCATTTTTTTCCAACTTAATATTTCAGGAAACCAGGATGAAACTGGTTAAAAGATTTGCCCAAATTACCAAATGGCAAGCTAGGAATTTAAAGCCAACTTTGACTGAAAAGCCTTGTCTTTCTTTACGAACACACTGCATGACACATTGAAAAGTTGTATTTAATATAGATAATTTTAGGTGAAATTACTTGGGAAATTTTCATGAAAGTAAGCAGTATTCATGCATGTATACATTTGTATGTGTGTATGATATTTATCATAAACTATCAATTCCCTGAGAGGAAGAATTTTTAGTTGTTCTTATAAAATTATATGTAATATAGCTCTTATTATGGATAGTCATATGTGATAGAAGGGCCTATTATCACCCCTGCAAAAGGGAGAACCATTACAAGGAAAGCAATGACCATCTGGACCTTATAATATTATATAGAATTTATAGAACCCATTTCACTAAAAACCAGCAGGAAGAAATCAATCTAACATATCATCTTAAAAGATAAAATATGGATTTGTGCAGAAGATAAATAAATGCTCAAATATAGATGGATAGATTGATGTAGATAATTAGACACACACACATATATCTATATGTAAAATTAGAATGAACTCATTCATTTCTGGTATAAAGTGGAGCATTTCAGTTTCAATAATATTAAATCTCTTTAGATTCCTGATTGCACTCTTGACTAGTATTTCTTTCTTTTCCCTCCTACAGTTGGACAGCGTCACCTCCCTAATCCAAGCAGCCAAAAATCTAATGAATGCTGTCGTGCAAACAGTGAAAATGTCTTACATTGCCTCAACCAAGATCATCCGAATTCAGAGTCCTACTGGGCCCCGGCACCCAGTTGTGATGTGGAGAATGAAGGCTCCGGCAAAAAAGCCCTTGATTAAAAGAGAGAAGCCAGAAGAAACTTGTGCAGCTATCAGGCGAGGCTCCGCAAAGAAAAAAATCCACCCAGTGCAGGTCATGAGTGAATTTAGAGGGAGACAGGTCTACTGAAACCACTATTTTACTCTATGTCTATATTAAAAAGTCCTGGCTAAACACACTGCTTTAACTTTACACTTGGTTCATACTGTAAATTCACTGTCTTTTAGAGTTTAAGCCACAAGGAATATAAAACATTGAAGGTGGAACCAACGTGAGCACCCCATATTTGGGGCCATGTTATCTCTGTATGCCTAATAAGTAATCAATATCCGTTTGTTGAATGAATGAAAACTTCAGGTGCCATTCAGCTTTTCCCATCACAGAGGATATCTTACATTCACTACCAAATGAACATAGGAGATTCCAATGAGTCTTATTCATCGGTAATAGCTTGATTACATTCAACCCTTTTACTTTTAAATTTAAAAATTGACATGAGCTCTTGACTTGGTTTTCAATTAAAAACAAAAGACCTCATAAAATATTTTCCCATGAAAACTTTCCTTACTTGGCCTGATCTGACACAGATGTGTGATCCTTGCTATGGGGGGGTGTGGGGGGGCTAGAATCAATCTCTACATGTCTCTGTCTACTGCCAACTGATTAGGGTGACATCTATCAGAAACTAACCAACCTTGAGCAGTCAAGCTGCATCCTAGATTTCTAAGATCAGCATTGATTATTAATGAAGCAATTTATTAACATTATAAAAGTTACAATGAGTTTTGATGCCACAAATGCGCCTTCTAGGATCCCATTGTGTTTAGCAGTTCTGCATGTTGAGAACTGGGTTTAAGTGAGTCCATCAGAATTTATACATGGAGGGAGAGTTATCACCCACTTGGCGAAATGGGACATCTAACTACTAGGATATCCCTGAGTGAATTATGCCAACGGAAGTGTTAAGTAGTTCTGCATGACTCTAAAATTTCATTTGTATCAGCTTGCAATTGTAATTAAAAGGAAACGGCCAGTTTGAAAAACCTTTGACATTGAGTAAGATATAACTGTGTAAAATGTATCATTGAACTATGAAGTAGAGTTCACGGCAATGTAGCTGGAGTGATTTTTAATAACATTCTTTTAAATAAAAGTCATTGAGGTCATTTTTTCTAACTGTGCTCCCAGTGCACAGTCTCAATCATTGTGCTCATCCCTAGTTGAGTTTGTAATGAACTTCATAATAGTCTCAGAGTCCAGGGCATTGCTTGTCTCTCTCATGCTTTCGCCTTTGTTCTCTGATGGAGTTGAATTTCAGTTACACTTTTTCTCATGCATAGAGCCACCATTCACAGAATGTTAAACATGGGTTCCCTATTCTACTTTATTAATGTGATACTACAATTGTAACGACACTTTGTAAAACATTGCCAATAACATATTATTTCAACAGCCACCTCATCATAGTTTGATAAAGTAAAATTCAAACATGCAGCACCAATTGATATTAGGACGACTAGTCTGAGTAACTCAAAGGAAAAAAATGGGGAAAAGCATTTATTTAATAGGTTATATTAACTATGAGGAAATGATAACTTTTATTCTAATGAATTATTTTATTTTTCTAAACTTTTGAGTTGCCTGGGCTCAGCACATAAACTTCCTAGGAGGTAACAGCAATAAGCTCTCCCTGTTTTGAACTATGCACTGGCCTACAGTAATTATTCTGGACAGAACCCACTCTCTAAAAGAGAAGGTAGTGCAGGAAGAAATTAAGAAGTTAAAAATAATTCTATGTTCTAGAACTACCTTGATAAATGAAGCAAAATAGTTTCTTTTGTTGAAATGTTACCATCACTTTCTACTCTAAGAGTAAATATTACAAGAGTGACATCTATAACACATCCTTTTCTCAGAAGTGCAAATTTATAATTTAGTTAATTTAGAAAATAAATGTAGAAGTTAAAAATAATTCTATGTTCTAGAACTACCTTGGTAAATGGAGCAAAATAGAGTTTCTTTTGTTGAAATGTTACCATGTTACCATCATTTTCTACTCTAAGAGTAAACATTACAAGAGTGACATCTATAATACATCCTTTTCTCAGATAGAAGTGCAAATTTATAATTTAGTTAAGAAAATAAATGTTTAAGGTATCACTTTACTGCTAGGTGCACATCTTAATTCTTAAAGCCACATGCTCAAGAATCACAATAGTCCCCTTTAGAAAATGTAATGTCCCTTTGATCCTGCCTCAGCTTTCCACAGGTTGGAAGATAGAATGAGGCATTAGGTGCCAAAAGAAGAGGAGTAACTTGAAATTATTCAATTACCAAATATCCTCTGTATCTTTAAAATAAACCAACTCCACACAAAATGAGACGTGAACAAGGCCTCCTCTTCAAAGTAGGTAGATTTCCGACTTAGCTCAAAGTAAACAACTTATAATTAAAACTTATTTTGAAAAAAATAAACTTGGAAATTAGCCCAGGAGTAAAGCCAGCTGTAGTAATCAAAGGTGTAATAAGAACAGGATGCATAGAGCTGAGAAAGGCATCTGTCTGCCTGAGTGAATTTTTGCAGTTGGGCAACATTTCAAGATTTAGTCCAATTCAAATCTGCTAATAATATAAGTGCTAATACACAGCAAAAATACTAACAAACCTTTGCATTACAAAGCATAGTTAAATGAATCTAACCAGTATGTACGAATGCATTAGATAGCTTTCTATTTAAGCACTTCTTCTCTAGGGGAAAACTTTAATGAGAGTGATACCTTGGTGGCCCATCTATACACCTTTTCAAATCACATCACAAAGATCAGTGCTTCATCCTGTTAATCAAAGCTCACTTTTTCTTTTAGTGAAATCAATTTATAGAGGAAACAAAAACTCCCTGAGGAGGAGAACAGGGTTTAGACCACCTACAAGGACAGTTTCCTCCTGCTTAGCCACCAGCATAATTGTCAAACATTAGACTGGAACCAGAATGATAAGTTAGAAAATATCCAAGAAATCATAATCCACTAAAGATTGTTATTATAAAAACTGGAAGGTTTTCATTAAACAGGAAAGGCAAGTCATATGAATTTCTCCCTTTTAATCATCACAAGTGAAAATTATTGGATTAAAATATGTGTTTCTTTCTAATTCAGTTTCTGGGTTATAACTCAAATGGGTCATAAAAAAAAATTAAACGATTTTTTGTATAGTAATCTGTTATATATCCCCTTCCTGTTTGTCTTATGGCATGAGTGAAAACTATAAATGCGTAAGAAAATACAATATTCTTAAATGTGCCTTCTGACTTTTGCACATTGCTTTATTTATTAGTATCAATATAAATATATGTCTGCCATAAAATCACTTCTGTTTAAGGGGTAAGGTCCAACATAGCTACACAGAAAGGCTCATTCTTGCACACTTAATGGCTTCAAAGGAAGTCAGTTTTTAAGTCATACCACAGTAAGATAGTGACTACACAGTGAAGTGCCCAATTTAGTCCTCACACCCAATAATTAATGCTCCTCAAATTCAGTGAGGAGTGGCTGAAAAGCCTAAGAACAGAGGAACATTTTCAGTGGCCTTCACTTTCAAGGTGGTCCTTTCATCTCACCCATCCCTGTGCTAGGTGTCCTATTAACTGCTGATACTTTCCACCAGAATGATACAGGACTGCTCATCCCAGGCAATTACCTCCAATTTATGTCCTTCCCTCTTGGCCCATGCACCGAAAGTATCTCTCATCTCCTTAGGTGTCTATGCTACCTACAAATTGATAAATAATTTCTATAGTGTTCTAGTTAAAAGTATGAATTTTAATTCCCAGCAGCATTATTCCTTTTTTTGTTTCTATTCCAGAATATAGTCTTATTCCTTTTGGTGTGAAAGGCACACTTCCATGCTAGGGATTGTGGTTCCCATGGATACAGATGTCTGTACAATAGTTGCAGAATGGGTGGAATGAGATCTGAGACTTTTCCTTGTGATATTTATCATTCGCTGGTGAACTCATTGCAGAATTGCCAGCTTGTTTCAATATCATTTTTAAGTAATTCTTTAGGTCAGCAAAGCAGGCATCAGAATATCAAGTTGAATGAAATGTATTTCTTTTGTCAGCTTGTTTTCTCCCAACCAACCTGCCTATTGTATATTTAGGAATCAAATAGCCATTTTTTGGTTTGGGAAAGACAGAAGTATTTCTGTTTGACTTGATCAGAAAATTAAGGAGCACATAGTTAAAGACTATAAATGGCATTATTATATTAATAACTATTTTTAAGTAAATGAGGAAAATATTATGACTTGAGAAATTTATATATCACATACCAGGAATCAAAACTTATTTAATAAGAACCCCACAGCATTTCTTTTGTCATAATTCTCTGTCCATACCATTATAATATCTTTAGTATTAGTATTTTACACGTTACTACCAAATCCAATAGGCCTGGCTTGTCTATTAGAAAAGAAAATATGGATGTTATTAAAATCAAGTGTATGCAACTAAAGATGTCCTTATTAAGGTTGTAATACTATCCTAGACATCTAAGTGAGAGCAAGAAGAATTAAGTTTTTAAATTATTTTTGTCATTTTTAACCAATTCACATGAACACAAATATTTTCTATTATAGCAAAAGAAATAATAGTTTACAGCATTAATGATTTCTCCTAACTAGCAGGATAGAGACTATCACTTAACATTTCAAAAGAAGATAATTAATACTAATTGAGAACACCATTTCCAAATGGAACCCAACCTTACCAGCAACCTGTCTACAGGCAGTAGGTGGTCGGTAGGGCTGGCCTTATGTAGATCCTGGGATATTTCATGGCTGCAGTCTGCCTTATGCCAACCAATAGTCCCCATTGGTTTATGAGAACAAACACAAGAATTGACTTTCAAAATTCATTTAACACGTTGGAGAAAAAGCAGTAAAGACTGAGCATTTCTAAAGAAATATGGGTAAAAAGTGACAGAGGTAAGGGAGGGTGTAAGAAAGGTAGTTGGCAAGCAGAGCCTAGGAAGGAAGAGTTTTGGTTCCATGAAGACCAGGCAGCCTCCTCCTGAGGAAGAGGGATATGATAGGGTACTTGTCTTTGGTGGTTTGTGTGAAGTCATGTAGGAGGCAGGAGGATGAACTATATAATAGCTGAGAATGATTAATATTGTGTGAAAGATGAGAAATGGAAATTCAGCCAGTTTTCTAAGCTGATAATGGGTGAAATTTTCCCCATTGTCAAGTGCTTAGCAGGATAATCACACATTTATATATTTAACAAATATTTGTTGAACAACTAGGATGTCCAAGCACTACTTTGGTTCTTAGGATACACCAATAACAAAACAGTGATCCTAGCCCTCCTCTGCTAGTTGTGTGTTAAATGCTTTTACCTTAATAAATTTTCTCAATAACCCGATGGGATAAACATTATCAGCTCCATTCCATATACAAGGAAACTGACGCTTACACAGAATGAGAATCTTGCTCAAAAACTCATTGGCAAAAAACAAACAAAAAAAAACTCATTGGCTCTAAAACTGAGTTTGTTGCACTCTAGAGTCTGAGTTTTTGGTCAGCACATCATCTAGACGTCCTGGAAAAATGAGATTGGATTTTTCAGTTGAAAATAAGATACAAATTTCAAATGCTGGCTGGCTGGCATCCCATGTAATAGCACAAAAATCAAAACTTAAAAACATTATTATTAATCCATACCTACACTATTCAAAGCAGATAAAATTTGCTGCATATATTTACCTCTACTAACTGAATGTAGGGTATCAGACATCTGAGTGAATATTTCATCTATGTGATTTGAAGTAAGATGAAAACTCTTGCCAAATTACTTTTATTCCATAGAGGAGAAACATGCAATGAAAATGCCTGTTTCAATCCATCTTTATTATGGATTGATGAAAAAATTTTGTGGATATCATCTCTTTCCTTTTTTACTACTACTGTGTGTTTGTGTGTTTACAGTTATAGATCTCAAAGGAGTGTTGGCCAAGAATTATCGAAATACACTCATTTCCTTGCATTCTAAGCTGACTCAAACTATGGCAAATAACTGTTTCCTTCTTTATGGAGATGACAAATGTATGCAGTGTGTACCTTACTACAGGTACATGCAGTCCTTCACGTTTACATGACCCTTATTCCCAGAGCCAACTGAAGCCAGACTCTTCTTGTCCACATTGCTGGCTATGCTTCTCTATCCCAGGCCTGGGGAATTAAATCACTTCCTGATCTTTCTGATAGTTGTCTTCCTTAAACTGGGGTTCCTCAAACTGGGGTTGGCTCTTTCATGTACCTGGCTATCTTGATGGTGCCCGTTCCCAACTGTAAGAAAAGGAATTCCCAACTGTAAGAAAGGTAATTCTCTTCGAAAAAGGCTCCGCTTCCTAAAAATCTCTTAAATGTAGGATATACAAAAGCCACGTAAATGGTATTTACACAGTGGTCTGTGTTTTCATTTCCAAGGTGATATTTTCTAAAATTCTAAAGTTTTCTTCACATTTTCAAGAAAAATGCTTACTTTTTGGTTCTGGGTATCTTGAAGGCATGTAGCATCTCTTTAAAAATGTTAAAGCCCTGTCTCAATAATGAAATCAATAGTTCAAAAGCCTGCAGGTAACTTTTTTTTTGTCTATTCCAACAGCCATTGTACTACACAATCCCAGTTCAACCACAGACATGCCATTTCTGTGAATGATCTGAACCTCTCTGTGGCATTCACTAAGAGTCTCACCTAGATTGACAGGTTTTCTTGACCTGGGCATCAAGCACTAAGTTTGTGCTGGACTGGTGATTAATAAAGCAAAGGGGCAAGTCTGATGTATTAGTTCCTGTTCTCTGCTAAACAGAACTTTCCTCCTTCCTGTGGCTTT